GAAACAGTTGCCAGGAAGCAAAATCTCAACAGGATGAGAACATGCTGCGAAGAACGATAGTTTTGCAATTTAGGTGAGACACTGGAATCAAGGGGAGAGACGTAAAAGGGTTACGTGAAATTCGTCGGTGGTAGATTAGAGAGGCAAGGAAAGCAAAGGGGAAATATCCGAGGGTGGGTAAAAAGAACAGCGGACATTTGCACACGGGCAGGTATGGGGTGGTGACTATTTGCAGCGATGGACGGCTGCCACCGAGATAACAGTGCGGTCAGCGCGGTCTTGTGTGGCGGTGCCTCCGGGGGGGTCTGGACACAAAGATTACGCTGACATTTCAAAAGTATGTTATCTCAGATGCACAAAGACAACAGACAATTTCAAAGTTAAAGACTGACCTTTGTCTAGGAAGCTACAGGTCTAGGACGTGACTACCAACATCACCTGCTTTGAGTCAGGAATTTTTACATTCGGACCACCCCGGCCATAGGGACAGGAACAGGGACAGATATCAAATATATATTTCTTACTATAAATCACAATATCACAATCTCTTTCACAGTCTCTGCTCAGTCACCCTGCAGCTTCTGCGCCCTTTGTTTTCCATGGCTTTTCCCTGTGATTTTGCTCAGAAAAATCACTCTCGGGGTTGGGCTACCCAGCCTGCTTTGCGCGCTGGCACACAGAGGGGAGAGAATTGCCTGGGAGTTCGCGTGTCCTTGCTCCTCTCCCTGCTGCAGGAGGGAAAACACGGCTCCCTGGTCGGTGGGGAGACAAACTCCCAGGTGTAATTCATCCGTCAAAACGCCCTCTGGGTCAGGCCGAGGCTGGGGCTTGGCCCACACTGTGTGGGCACATTATCCCCCCTCTGTCCAGAACACTCTGCCCGACAACCACAGGGAACACTTTTTTTTTTCTTCAAGGACACGTGGGACATTCCCCAGGACAGACCATAAAATAAGCCAATAACTATTAAAGGACTAGACATCTTACAGAATATGTTCTGTAATGACAATGGAATTATATTAGAAACAACGATAAAAAGAAAGCTAGAAAAGACCCAAGTGCTGGGAAATTAGACAACAAACACTACTAATTAACTCATGAGTCAAAAAAGAGAGATCACGAGGAAAATTTTCAGATATCTTAAACCAAAATATAATGATAACACAATATATCGAAACGTGTGGGATGCAGGCCAGGCTATGTATGTTTAGAAGGAAACTTCTAACTCCAAATGCTCATATTACAGAAGAAAAGCTTTGAATCGGTTGATCTAAATTCTCACCTTAAGTAGCTAGAAAAAGGACAAACTTAAAGCCCAAAGTTACAGAAAGAAAGAAAATGATTGAAACAAGAGCAGAAATCAGAGAAATAGCAAATCAACAAAAATAGAGAAAACCAAAATTGGTCCTTTGAAAAGATTAATAAAATTGATAAACTCTGGCCAGACGTGGCAAGAAAAACAGAGAAAGGGAAAATAAAAGCGGGAGGAGGGCTGAGGGTAGGTATATGGCGGTTCCCAACACTGTCCGTACAGGTTTTCTGTGTGTTTGAAATTACATCGAAATAAAAATGGAAACAAAGGGGATAAATGTGCAAGTAGATAACGCTGAGCACCTCGAGCTTGATCGAGAGAAGTGATCTTGTTCTGCTGAACTGAGGACGGGAGTGGGAGAAGTGGGGGAAGGAAGAGAAAGGGCAGCGGGCGAGGAAACTGGAGCTCCTCGGGAGCGCGCAGTCCTCGGGAGCGCGCGGTCCTCGGACTCGCTGCCCTCCGGGCCTGGATGCCCCCACGCGCTGCCCAGCATCTGTGTCCTGTGCGCCTTCTGGGCTGCATCCCGCTCCCAGCACGGTTTGCCTTCTCTCCTCGATGCTTCTTGTACTCAGCACTTCAAACTCCTCTTGCAGCTCTACCTAAACACCATGTGAAAGCCAGGGTTGATTTTTTTTTTTTCCTTTTTCTACAATGTAATGGGGAAGGAGGATTAAGTTTCACAGAAGGAGAAGGCAGGCGTTTAAATTTAGCCGTGGCGGATGAAAGCAAGTCTCGTATTGCATCTGAATCAGAAACTAGGCAGAGTTACTTCTTTATTCCAAAAGGCAGCAGCTGCTCAGAGACAAGCAGATTGAACCACTTCCTCCGTGCTCAGAAATTCGCAGAGAGGGTGCATGCACATTTATATACATATATGGTTAGAAGCACAAGGAAAAGGAACACAAAGAAACATAATTCATTGATGATGTCACTTGCAGCCCCGGTGCACAGTTTTACGTTTCGTAGCACACGGTTTCCCGCAGAAGTCACGTTCATGCGTGGAACCCATTCTCTCAAACTAGGAGGTAGGTTAAGGATGAAGACAGACTCGTTTTTTTTTTTTTTTTAATAAGAGATGTTATTTTTTTTTAGAGTTGTATTAGAAACGATTCCAAACATATATAGGAGAATAGAGTGTGCCCATCATCCGGCCTGGTGCTCCACCCGTTCAGAGAAACCTCTCTAGTGACAAAGTATAGAAATGGTCCCTGAAAGGACATCTGCGTCGTCCAGCCTGAACAATCCAATCACCTTGAGTTGGAAGAAATCATAAATGACTAGGATATAGACAAGGGCATTCAACTTAGCTTCCCTGGGAACTGGCCTCAACAGCATTAATCAGCTGATCAGAGCCCTTTGTTTAATTTCCGTTTCCTTATTGGCATAAAGGAAAGCTGTTCACCACCGACCATCTACCCCCACTTTCCACAGGTCGGGTCAAACGCTCAGTTGATCCCTTTTTAAGCCAGGTTGGGATCAAAGAAGACTTCCTATAACTTTCTACTTTTTTTTTCCCCAACAACATTGAGACATTGTCTAATTATGATCGGAGTGTTAGATGGTGACGAAGTCCCCGGTGGCGAGGACCATTGGGCAAAGAGACCCATAAACCTGCGTGTCAGGAAAGAATTCTGGGATGGGATTTGGTTAGAAGCGACAGACAGTCCATGACACTGGGAGATGATGTGAGGAAAACAGAGTGCGGAGGAGAGGAAGGCCCGGGTAGAGCTGGGAGGGGCAGGCAAGAGCTAGGCGGTGAGGCACACAGCCCTGGGAGAGAAGGGGACATGGAGGAGCTGACCACAGTGCGGGACCCGGGGGTGCTGCAGTCCCCTCGGTGAGGCGGGAGAAGGGCAGGGCCCAAAGAGTGTAAGGCAGAGGGGAAAGTCTAATTCCCTCTCCGGTGCACCTCAGCCCTCCTTAACTGCCCCCGACGGTCCCCTCCACGTTCAGAGTGCCTGGGCTCTCGGGAGAAAATCACCCCTCATTCCTTTGTCCCAATCTCTGACCACCCTCTTCCCACCCGTCCCCCCTGGACCAGCCCGTTCCTACTCGTCAGGTCGCAGCCGAAAAATCTCTTCTGACCTTACAGTGATGTCGATTGCACCATTATACCCTCTGCTCTTTTCCTGTACTAAATGTCTCGTGTTGTCACAACTCTTTGGCTGATGCCTACACCCCCACCCCCACATACAGGGTTAGCTCCACGAGGGTAAACACCGTGTCTGTGTCCTTCACAATGTGCACACCAAGTGCCAGCCTTGGTGTGTGGCCCAGGCTGTGCTCGATAAAGATGGAATGAATGAATGAATGAATGAATGAATGAATGAATGAAAGCAGGTGTTGGTGGTACCTAATCCCGGGTAACACCATCCGTCACCTTCCCCTGCCGGTTCCCCTGCCGCGCCCCCTCCTCGGCCTGCGTCCTGCTCTCCGGCCTCAGCTCAGCTCTGCAGAGACCGCTGACCACCGAGTGCCGCGTTTCTGGGTCTGCCAAGGATGGAAGGCAGACTGAGATGAGTGGGAGGTGGGGAAGAGAGACGACGGATGCAGACAGCTTTTTCACAAGTTTGGCCTTGAAGGGGAGGAGAGAATTAGGCTGGCAGCTGCAAGAAGCTTTAGGGTCAAAGCAGGGTTGGGTTTCTGGTGGATTTTTTTGAGATTTTGGGAGAGACTAAAACATGTTTAAATGCCAGTGGGAGGGTTCAGTTAGGAGGGAGAAGCTGAATAAGTAGCAGCGGGAAGGGATGCTGAGCAGAGTGAGGGCGTCTCTGCTGGGCACCAGGATGTTGGTGTCAGCTCTTCACGCCTCAGAGCTGACTGGGGCCCCTCCCGGGAGCGGCGGCTCCCCCATGGCAGTGTGGGATGCTGGGCCACCCAAGCAGGACCTGGAAGGCAGGTGTCCAAGATCTGGTTCTGAGTCACTGCGTTGACCACTCCTTCCAGCTGATAAAAAGTTTGGACGGATTGAGAAAGGAGCCAGAGATTTCAAGATGGGCTCTGTGGGAGAGGCTTGTACTGTGGAGCCCATGGGGGCGGGGAGACGTGCTCCCTATTTTTCTCAGATCACCTAAGGGGGCCACCTGGAGAACTTGAGGGGTGGTCCCTGGAGCTGAGGAGACACCGGGGTCACCTGACTTGCACCTGGAAACCTGGAGGGGGCGCTGTGGTTGTGGCTGCCCATCGGCCCCTGGGCTTTTACTTGAGAGGTAGATGAAAGCCGGTCAGAGGTGCACACCTCCAGTGGCCGGTCTCCATCAGTGGTTCGCACCTGGCAGTGGGTGCAGCCATTTTTGCTCGTCATGTCTGAAGCTGGGGGTGCTGCTAAACAGCTCACACCAGGCAGGTGGAAGCAGCAGAGAGGGCAGGAGGCGTAGGTTGTGTGTTGGGAAGGAGGAAGTCCCCAGTGATGGTCTAGGAAATGCATCTTTTGCTGGAAGGGAGTGGGATGGGAGGGCCATGGAGATTGGAAAGCAAACATGGAAACTTCAGGGGTGGGTGAGCTAGGTGACACATCGTAGGGTTGCCGGGCAACATGGGAGAGAACGGAGGGGTCCAGACATAGAACCAGGAGAGATTCTTGGTGGCCCCCAGGGGGAAGGGGCCAGGCCCCTCGGCAGAGCTCTGCTGAGACCTGAGTGGAACTGACGGTGTCTCGTAACCGTCCCGCCATCTCTCGTTGCTGCAGGTCTCAGCTGTGCACCAGTCCAGCTTTGGCGTCCCACGTCGACGAGTCAGTCCCCTGACCAGTGTGACGCAGTAAGTGCAGGGAGCTCTCGGTCCATTGGTTCCCATTTTGCCTTTACCGAGGGGAGAGCTTCCAACTTGCACCTCTCAAATGCCATCGAGTGTGGCCATAGCTCCTCACAAGTCTGTGACATATGGATGTGGAAGATGTGACTCTCGGTTCCTTTTACAGAAATGACTGGGTGCTGTGGTGATAGGTGACAGATGCCGACTCTGACCACAGAGGAAATTCACTGGAAGGATGCGAGTCCCTTGCAAAAGAAAAGGGGAAAGTTGAGGAACTTCTGTCTGAAAAGGGCGGGAACCAGGGAGGCGTCGGGGACCCAGAAGCAGGAACCAGTTGACAGTCTCATGCAGCCACAGGAGCGGCTTGTTTCAGCCCCGCCTCTCCTCTGCTTTTGCTTCCTCCATGCAAGGGCCAGAGGCCCAGGAAAGGGACCTATGTGGCCCCAGGGCGCCCCCACCCCGGGGAGGACAGACGGAGTTTCTGACTCCCAGAGTCATCGGAACTTGGGAAGTGGAGGCAGGACAGAGAAAAGGCTCATGGATCTCCCCAGCTCTGTCGGGAGAAGGAGCTCTCTGCTGCCCGTTCCCTGGGAGACCCTCTCCACAGTTCCCTAGAGCCGCTTCCATCAAGATGGAGACTCATAAACTCTGGGTCTCGGACACCGTCGGGAGGGCTTCATGGCAGTTTCTGGGAGTTGCTGGACCCCCTTCTACAGGCCCCGCTCTAGGAGTCTCTGTCCCCTCTGTCCAGCATCTGCCTGGCTCCGAAGCAGGTCCCATATACGGCATCTCCGGGGACCTGCAGTTTAACCATTTCACACCCCCTGCCACGTGGGTAACACAAGCAGGGCCCTAGATCTCATCTTAATCTTGCCATTTTGTTTTCTAAAAGGGTAAGACACTATTTTCGTCACTGTTTTGCAGGGAGAAAGAGTCCTGTTTGTCCTCATGATTCATTTTGGTGGGTTTTGGACGGCGTTGTACTGATTCACGGCGACTCAGCCAGCATCTGGTCTGAATTAAACGGGACTTTCTCTCGGTGACAGTAAACTCTTCAACAAGGTGCACATGAACACGAGGCCTGGTGGGAAGGCCGGGGCTTGAGCAATCTGTGCGGCCTGAGTCAGTTCAGCCAGATGCTGCGCCGTCCCAGAGCCCTTCGCGAAACCCGACAGGGGCTGCAGCCTGGCGCTGCATGACACAGCGTCTGCTCCTCACAACCAGGCCCATGACTCCTTCCTGGCGGGTCAAACCGCTCCCCACAACGCACCATTTCATCCTTTAGCCACGAGCCTGGTTAGACGCCCAGGGAACAGGGGCAGGAACCTGTCATGGATGTTGCACCAGGAGCTGGGTTTTCTCTGGTTCGTTCCAGGAAATTTTCCACGGAATCCCAGGGACCACCCAGTGGTTCTTAATGGGGGCCAGTGATTCGGCATGTGGCAATGCCCAGAGATGTTTTTTGGCTGTTGCAGCTGGAAGGGTGCTAGGGGCATCTGGTGTGTAGAAGCCCAGGAGGCTGCTAAACACCCCACTGTCCGCACAACAGGCCCCACAGTGAAGAATCTTCTAGTCCAAGATGGTGCCCAGGTTGAGAAACTGCTCTACTATAAACCGATCCCAAACTGCAAGTGACTTGAAGGTTTGAGGTCATTCATTGACTTCGTGAAAAGGATGGTAGACATGGTAGAAACAGATCTTCTGGAAATCCTGTCATTTCTGTGCTTACAAGGGGATCATGTCTTGTCTATGTCCTTACAAACCATTCTCCACGGAGAGGACCCCAGGCTCCTGAGAAACAGCCCATCTGGGCTGGGACTGATGCGTGAGGAAGGTCTCGGAGACTGCGGGCCTGGAATCACAGGAGTTATAGGAGCTAACCGGAAGGGACTCTCTCTGGCCAAATATGGGCTGATTTGAGCATCAAAAAGAAACACGCTAATATGGTAAAATCCCTATCCGGAACTTGAAAGAGAAGCCTGTGGTTGAAAGATGAAAAGCTATTTCGGAACCATGTGGCTTTGACAGGTGTCCTTTATTTAACAACAAAAAGTTGGTTCCACTGCCTCTTAAACCTCAACACTCTCATTTCCCTTTAGTGTTATTGACTGTGAAGGAAAAGAAGTTTGTAACATCTCCGCTGGACTCCTGGAAAAGGAGCGGGGCGGGGGGCGGGGGAGAGTCCCCGGCGATGGCGGCGGTCACCGCACAACCATGACCCCACCCGGCTGCAGCTCTCATGCGGGGGAGAGAGGGGAAGGGAGAGTAACGTGTCAGCAGGACACTGCAGACCAGACAGACATGTCTGTGGAACAGTGTTTCAGTCGGAATCTTCCTTTCGTAACCGAAAACCCAACCCAGAAAGAAGAGTGTGGAAATGAGTTTCTAGGCCCAAGGCACCACGTCAACGGCCCAAACTTTCCTTTTCCGGTAAACGCTCCGCTTGGCAGAAACGCACTGTATCTCGTCAGCCCACCCCCGCAGCGCGAAGCCATCTCCCGGCTCTAGGCTCGTTTCCTTGTTCCTTAATCTTTGTCCAGAAGGTCACACTCGCAGTCCGGCCACTCACTCAGATTCGACGTTACTGCTGCCTCCGCTCTGACTCCCTCGGGCCCCAGGTCCCTGGGGAAGAGCGCCCCCTGCCTGCCAGTCCGTGGAGGGAAGGACATCAAGCCTGTTACCAAATCGCTGTAGTTTGTCACTTGGTGTGAGTTCAAATAATAAAAGGACGTTACTGCATCACATACTCACGAAGCCCAGACAGACCTACTCACAGCACGGTCACGGTCACGGGCTGGCACACGCCCAGCGGCTCGCTCCTCACTGCTCCGCAATGAGCTGCAGCGACTACCTTGTGGAAACAGCCATGGGCCTGACCACCTTTCTTCAAACTTGCTTCCCGCCATTGTTGACAAAGACTAATGGCGACCCCTGGTTGAAGGGGCAACAGAAGTACCACTCCTTATACGGAAAACCACTAGAAGCCACATGGTTCACTTTTCCTGCATATGACAAGAGTATTGGGCAATAAGATAACAGAAACATAAAACTGGAAACAAAAAACCAAAACTGCCTTTATCACAGTCTGAGAAACACCAGGCTGGCCTGGGGATTCCCAATCCCGGCTGCCCATTGCAGCACCAGCTGAGCGGTAGCAACTGCTGTGCAGTAACATCATTCCCAGAGACACCGACTAAAGTGGCCTAGGGAGGGCCCCAGGCGCGGGGAGTTTGAGAAACTCTCCAGGTAGTTGGAATGAGCTGAAAGTTGGTGGCCTGGGTTCAGACTGGCCTCGGGGGAGACTCGGTCCTGTGGTCGGGAATCTGCTCAAGGAGCTGAGTCTGCAGAGCGCTGAATGCTCACATTAGGAAAGAAGAACAGTCTGACATCAGTGACCTCGGCCTCTGCCTTAAAAACTAGAAAAAGATGAGTAAATCAAGTCCAAAGGAAACAAGCAAAAGGAAATAAGATCGAAGAGGAATGGAATGAAATAGAAAACAGAACCATAGAGAAAAATCAACAAAACTGATAGCTGCTTCTTTGAGAAAAATCAGTGAAATTAGTAAGAGCCAGGCTGGTTAGGAAAATAATGAAGAAAGTAGAAATGACCAATACAAAGAATGAGAGAAGGGTCAGGGCACAGGCCGGGTTACGAGCCAGGTCCCTGCTGAGGGCGTGAGAGGCAGCCACACACTGGTGTTTCTCTCCTTCTCTCCCTCCCTTCCCCTCTCTCTAGAAATACATAAATTAAATCTGTAAGAAAAAAAGAATGAAAGAGGGTACATCATTATAGATTCCACAGATGTTAAAAGGATAACAAGGAAATATTATAAGCAAGTTTATGCAAATAAATTTGATAACTTAGATGAAATTCACAATTCCTTGAAAGGCTCAAACTATTACATGTTGGGAACCGCTCTGCCTGGTTTCAGGAGTTGTAACTACCCCCCATGGATAAGGCTGAGTGAGCGACCTCTGGAACACGAGCCACTGAGGAAACAAAGCTTGTCTCTGGCAGCAAATGCTGCTTCTGCTTACTCCCCTGCCCCCAATGCATAGTTGGATAGTCAGAGATGGGTACGACCCCTCGGAGGAGGGGCAACCTAAGGCAGACATAATCACTTGGGAGGTCATCATGGAAGGACTCGGGGGGGCTGCAACAAAGAGGGAGTAATGGACCCTCGCGCTCCCCTCCTGCTTTGACAAAGCCTGAGTCACCATGCCCTCTGGGAGAAGCGCTTCCTGGCTCAAATCCACTTAAGCCTGAAAACCTATGATGGGGGAGGCGGTGCAGCCCCTCACCGCCTAGAGCGGAATCCTGGGTGATTGGGCATAAGAAAGAATTCCTAAAAGTCCTGTGAAGCCTGCTTTGCTAAGAGTGTTTTCATTCATATGATAAGGATTCCAAGCAGGAAATGAGTATGTCTCCCAAAGTTTCTGCAACCCCCCCTTTCCTGACAGACACTGACTCAGACTAAGCCCTCAGATTTCTTTGAAATGTTATCTACTGTTTGATCATTGCCGCCCTATATTCCTGTGTATTACAACCCAATAAAAGCCATTGAGGAAGGGGCTCCAGGTCCTTCTCCTCTGAGAGATTGGCCACCTCTCCTCCCCAAGCAGATCAAGTCTTGGTACTGTTACTTTCATCCGTGGCGGATGGCGGGGGGAACTGCTGGCAAAGTCGTCCCCACAACTACAGTTCACTCAGGAAGAAATAGATAACTTGAATAGCTCTATATTCATTAAAGAAATTAAATTCATAGCTAAAAAACCTTCTCATAAAGAAAACTCCAAGCCCCGATGGCTTTACTGGTGAATTCCACCAAACATTTAAGGAGGAGATAGTGCCTCGGCTACACAACCGTTACCAAAAAACGAAGAGGAGAAAATACTTCCCAGCTCATTTTTTTTTTTTGAGACCCGCAAATACCCTGAATCCAAAACAAAAAAAACGTTACAAGAAAATATACGGAAATCCTTAAAACCTCAGCACCCACCAAAGTCACGCCGTTCCTGCAGTGCTCATCACCGGCGCTGGCCCCCGCACAGTGGTTTTGAAAAGTGCTCCTAATCCTGGACCCACACCTCACGTGGCCTTGAATTGGAGCCTGTGACCTGATTCTTCCTGGTTCTGGGTGTTTGGACCCAACAGCAGCCATTGAATTTATGACTAGGGGCCGATTTGGAAGGAGCACAGGGTGCCCTGGGAGGTTGCCCCAGGAGACACCAAGGGGAAGAACAATTGGTGGTCGGAGCTGGGGATGGAGATGCACATTGATGAGGCGGCTGTGGCAGCCACTTTGGAACCATCGGGAGAATGGAGAGGAGGAGGGTTCGAAGCAGATACTGCGTGAGAAATAGAGACAGACAGATATGTATGTATGGAAGGATGGACAGTTAGATAGAGCTAAAAATGAGGGGCACCCCGAGTTCTGTCTCTCTTGAGGGTTAGCTCTTCAGATTCTGTTGGATTCATGAAGGGCCCTTTATATTGTACTCGACACAGTGAGTGGACTTGTGTTTGTTTGTTTCTTTCTTTCTTTCTTTCTTTTTTTTACTCTTTAAAATAGATTTTATTTACTTATTTGAGAGGGGAGAAGGAGAAAAAGATGAGAACCATAGATGTGTGAGGGAAACATTCATTAGCTGGCTCTCCTTTGCATCTTGACCAGGGACTGAACCTCTAACCCAACCATGTCCCCCAACCTGGAATCCTTCGCTTTGCCAGAGGGCCCCCAACCGAGCCACACAGTCAGGGTTATTACTTATCAGTAAGTTTAAATCCTGAAGGGGTACAGCATTACACAGATTCTGTGTCCAATGGCCTTCGCAGGAAGGTTGCTTTGGAATTTAGCACAAACCATGCCACCGTTTCCATGAGCACGAGTTCCCCTGCCCCAGATGACTCTGGTTTTGTTTGGTTTACCACCAGGAGTCACTGTGTTGTTCTTTACTTTCTACACATAAGCACTTCTCTTTCCTAGATAGACTTCGGTTTCATCTCGAGCATAAACACTGTTGATTTTAAGAAGAGCTGTGTGCTCCCTCTGGTTCCGGAGACCCCGTTTATAGCCAGCAAAAATGGTCTTGGACCACAGCCTTCCAGACATATTTGTTGTTGCAGAAGTTCTGTTCCTGGAAGGTACCACAGGGTTCAAGATGGTGAAAAAGAGGACTTGTGTTTCTTACGGGCAGGAATGACCCCGACTAACCAAACATTCATTGAAAGCTAAGTTCCTTCCCTTCCGGTGGGTTAAGTCCTTGCTGTCCCTTCCTTCTGTAAGAACAAGATCTTCATTCCCAAAGTCCTTGGGGATTTTACTGGACTCTCTTTTCTTTTGTGCGTGTTTATTTTTTTTTTAAACTTGTTTAAGGCATAACATGCATATACTACAGTGAATCTTAAGTGTATGCTTAGGTGAGTTTTTAAACACACACACACCCCTGTGTAACTACCACCCAGATACAGAACATTTCCAGCACTTACCGGTTCATTCTTCACTGTGGAGTCACAGATCAGAAGATCCAGTTACTTCTACGGCCACACCACCCGGAACACGCCTGATCTCGTCCGACCTCGGCACCTAAGCGGGGTCAGGCCCGGTCAGCACTTGGATGGGAGAAGACTGGGTTATGAGCAGTTGGTTGGGCTGTCCCTGTGCTGTGCACTGAGCTGGGTCCCCTCCTAATCTGTGTGTTGAAACCCAACCCTCGATGTGACCATTTGGAGACAGGGTCTTTAGGAGGAAATAAAGGCGAAATAAAGCCCTAATTGGATGGAACTGGCATCTTTATAAGAAGAAACAAGGAGACCACCGCTCTTTCTCCCCGCTCCCCCCCCCCCCCGCATGCACAAAAAAGAGACAGACGCAGACAGACCGTGAGACGGTGGCCACCTACCAGTCCAGAGCAGAGGCCTCGGATGAAACCTACCTAGCCAGCGCCTTGACTTTGGACTTCCCATCCTCCGCAACTGTGAGAAATACGTTTCTGTGAAGGCACTCAGCCTGTGAAATTTGTGACGGCAGCCTGAGCAGACTAATACTCCGTGTGACCTGTACCAAGAACGAAGAGAGCAGAGAGGCATTTTGAACGGAGCACTACCCTTGGGAGGAGCGTGGGCAGCTGGCCCCCCAGCACGAGCAGGCGGCCGGTGCCGGCACGGGTGGGAGGGGCGTGTGGGCTGCACAGCCCGGAGAGTAGGCAGCCCCTCCGGCCACGAAGTCCAGTCCACTTCCAGGCCGACTTGGACACATGGCGAGGAGACGTTCGGTAAATTTGGAACCATAGTTAAATGTCAACCAACAGCCTCTCGCTCATCTGTCCTTCAGGAAGTGCTCCAAGTCGTCCTGACAATCCAATAGGGCCCTCACTTGAGGTTCCTGATCCAAGCGGGTGCCTAGTGGGTGGACTGATGTGACCACTGACTTGTGGGAAGAACCACTCACCATGAATGGACTCTGTGCGATCCACCAGCTAAATGGTACCGAACCAGGTCTGAAAACAGCACGTGGCACCAGCGCCACTTCCCTCTCCTCACTGGACAGCGGTGAGACCTTGGCTAGGGGTAGTGGGGAGGGGTCAGTCCTGGTCCGGGCTCCCCACTTCATCCCTGTCCTGGGGGTTGGCCACTCACAGGATTATCCTTTATGACTTTTTGCATATCAGGTTTCACAACAGCTGTGTCAAAAAGCACAGCAGAGAAAAGGGAAGGGAGTGTCACACAGCGCAGCGTGGAGTTCGCTTGATCTCCGGTGCAGAGACCTCTGTCTCCCTGGTGTGGCCGAGCGCCCTCCTGTGCTCCCAGCAGGGCCCTGAGACCAGCACCCGCATCTCCCAGACAGAGCCCAAGTGGGTCCACAATCCTGGGCACCGCCACCCTTGGCGCACAGAGCCTGGCCTTTGGTGCGCACTGCCCGGGCTGCAGTCGCCGCCTCAGGGAGTTTGGGGCTCCTCACTGGTCTGAACCCCCACCCTTGTTTCTGGTCTTTGGGTGACCATCGCACACGTACCGCAGCAGGTGCTGGGGCCCGCATGCCCCATCTGCCGCCCCACTGGAGCTCCCGGTTCTTTTCTCCCTGTGCCCACAGCAGTTTTCCCAAACTGTCTGTCATCTCTACCCCCACACCCCATCTCCCCGCCGCGGCTCTGAGCACAGGCTTTCTCTGCCAGCTGCGCAGGGCGAGGGGGCAGAGAGAACCCCTCCAAGGGGAATTCCTTTGACCTCCCGCTCCCCTCCCAAAACTTGTCGGCACCCACATCCACCCTGTTCTCTGCTGAAGCCCACTCCCTCCTCCCCCGGTGCTCACCCGCCCCCTCCGACTGCTTCTGGAACCTCAGATGAGCAAGTCCCCTGCCCTGGCCTCCGCCCAGGTAACTCCCAAGCGTGTACATGTCATCAGCATTGAAACAGGCTGGAGTCTTTCCCATTAGAAATATCGCCCACAATTCCATCTCCCCTCCTACTCCTTTCACTCTGCTCTCCTGGTGCTTAAATCCCTCTTCTGTGCTGCGCCCGGGTTTGAGTTCCGTTGAAATAAGGAACGAAGTGGAAATGTCTAGACTCCAAGAAACCTGGTGACCACTCCAAAGGGTTTGTTCTATGTTCCCTTTCTCTCTGAGACAGCCTCACGCAGACCTGGGTATTACCACACTGGTGTCTGTCTGCTTCCCTGTTCTTTAAAAAAATATATCTAGCCCTGACTGATGTGGCTCAGTGGGTTGGGTGTCATCCCACAAAGCGAAAGGTCGCCAGTTCAAATCCCGGTCAGGGTTTCAGGCAGGTCCCTGGTCGGGGGCAGGTGAGAGGCAATCGATCGATGTCTCTCTCTCAAATCAATGCTTGCTCCCTTTCTCCCTCCCTTCCCTTCCCTCTAAAAAGAAATAAATACAATCTTAAAAAAAATAGAGGTAACATCAAGAAAAAGAGTATCTAAAGACAACTGGATCCCCAACTTTTGGGGGAGTTGGCACAGTGTTCCCAGCCAAGCACCCTGTTTCAAAGGGATGGCATCTCCCAGGTCCCTTTGCGCCTCTTCTCAGAGCAGATAATTAATTAGCAAAACACCCTCCGACCCAAGTCTCGTTTCCTCACCAAGGTGGGCCCCTCTCCGTTCAGTGACTAACACAGTTTTGGGACAAGAGTTTTCCCAGAACTTTGAAAACATTCCATATTCATTTCGTACTGAAGATGTAAACTGTGTCTTTGTGAGAAAAACTAAAAACACAGATTCTGGTGGGGCCTGGAATCCTAAACAGTTGCATTTTATCTCCTTTCGCGAAAGAGAAGGAAATAACACAGCTGCACGCTGGCACTGCGTGGTTTTCAGGCCGTTGGAGGCGCGTTTAGCCACGGGGCTCCCGGCCCGTCTCCAAAGGCAAGGCCCTAGAAAGCGCTGTCTGGACTCGGCGCTTTGCTTTCTCAGCTCCTGCAGGCCGGTTTCCCTCCGCCCACGGCAGCAGCTCTCCCCCAGGCCCTCCGCAACTTCCTGTCACGCCATCCAGAGGACTGTCAGTCCTCACCGTTCTCCGCTTCCCGCCGAGGCTGGGAATCCAGCCTCTTCGTGCTGGAGAACCTCCCTTTCCTCAGAGTCTGTGGGCAGCTCTGA